CACATTATAACGCCCCCACGGCTGAAAAGGCGAGTATGTTTGGTGGGAAGGGGATTCGAACCCCCCACCTTCAGATTGCGAGTCGAGCGCCTTATCCACCTGGCCATGCCGGGCCGTCAAAGTAATTGAACAATGTCGAGGCTAAAACGTAATCTGTATTATTACTGACCTATATATAGTAACGATAACTGTGAAAAAAATATTTCAGACTTATATCAAATTAATTTAATTATTTGAAAATTTTATTCTAAGACAAATAGCATCAGTTTGGCAATTATTACATATAATAAACTTATATACAAAACTAAATTTCTTGGCATTTACTTAAACTAATTCTTCCACTAGAAATTTATACAAAATAAAATTTGGTATAAAATCACTACTAAAATGCCAGAGCAACGACTAAGAAAAACGACAAATATTTTCTTATTCAACGCAAAGAAAAATTAATATCAATGGGATATTTTAGTCCTTATTTTTAACTCACCATATAGCAACCTAATTTAGTTTACATGTGTCAATAATATTATGGTATTCCGCTTAGTTTTTTATTCCGTATTATACAGCGCACCAACTGTTTGATAATTTTCACCAAAGATAAAACCGAAAATACAATCGTGACGTGGCGGCAAAATACGTTCTTTAATTTGCTGTACCCTCTGAAGTGGACTGCGGTTTCGTTTATTCAAGACTGATTAGCAGAGTTCGGGTCGGCAAACCATAGAAATACAAATATTATACTTGTAATGATCAGTGGCGTAGGAAGTGGGGATGGGTAGGGACGAACTCCCCACTTTTAAGTCTATCCCAGGAAAAATACATAAAGATTGGGATCAGGAAAAGTAGGAGAATGCATAAAATTTAATACAGAACCAAAAAGCTTCCAGGGCCCTAAGGCGAGCCATGGATTTCGGCCGTAATGGGTGCGCCTGTGGCGCATATTCGCTTGCCTCGCTCGGTTAAATAAGCCTTGCTACCCCCACCCCCCCACCCCGCCACAGACACTTTTGATTTGTTTCCTACACCTCTGATGGTGGTATTGCATATAATATTTACAGGATTCGGGGGCCCCTTTTTAACTCACCATATAATAACCTAAATTAATTTTAACAATTAATCTTATTCCGTTAAACTTCACCTTTAGGCTTGCATCAGCCATAAGCTGTATCAAAAAAAAAAAAAGAAGGGTTTTTTTTTCCTCAGCAAGAAACATGAAACATCCTCAAACTGAGGAAAGCTACATATCACAAGTAACTCAAAACATACTCTTAGATATTAAGCTTCTACATATAAAGAAGCAAACAAATTAGAAACAAACATTGGATATTTCAGTTATAATAAATATTAAAATATATCTTGTTTTTGTTTGTTTCAGATATTTGTGCAAAGCTCTACAACAGCTATTTGAATCCCTAATTTTGAAGCGATAAACTAGAGGTAATTCAATAGAATCCTGTCCCCAAGTGTGTCAGAGGTAGGGTTATTAACTTACAATGCTAAAATTCAGGGTTCATTTCTCCGTGATGGAAAATGTACAGATAGCCTATTGTGTAGCTTTTTGCTAAAAGAACAAAAACATCAATAGCATATGCCGCAAACGCTTGAGTTACTCTAGTCGAACAGTGGAATTTCAACGTCATTTTATAATATACTCACAGGCCTTAAGGCAGAGCGCAATTTTTTCATTTGTGGTAACAGGACGTGAGCCATGGACCCTGATTCACACTTCGGCATGTTAACCATTAGACCAGGACAAACATATTTAGCAAATATGAAAGCTCAGGAGATCTCCAAATAATGGAATGGCCACTACAAAGTCCACAGCTTAACCCTATAGAACAAATTTTGGATTTGCTGGACTCCAGGCTAAAAAAGTACCAACTGGACACAGTTTCAACAAGAATGGAATCGAATTACACCAGAGACTCTTAGAGAATATACAGACATAATGCCATAACGATGCTAAGCTGTTATTGATGCCAAATTTAGTCACATCAAATAAAAGCATTGGAAACTTAAATACATTATTTGTGTACTAATGCAATAATTGCAAGTAACTTTCTATTGCAAATTAATGATTATTTTGTGTTTAAAGCTCATAAAATTACAATTGTTGAGATAACAACATCTTGGCATCAATCTGCTTGTATCCATTGTGTTTTTCCCCACATGTTTGCTCTATCATCAGTATATAAAAAGGGGAAACACAACTAATCAGATCAGAATGCTTCCAGTCATTCACTGTCTGTCAGTTTGTGCTATAAGCACAACTAAAGTTATCATTTTCTTTTCTTGCAATAGAAATAATCAGTTTCTGAACAGGTTTATGGCTGCTATGATGGTTCGTAATGTTCATTGTATAGT